AGTGCAACTGGAATTGGGCAGGTGCAAGTAGGTTTTATCTTTAGGTTGCACCCAGTGCAAGTAAGTTAACATCTCTTAAATCGAGCCCTGGTAGATATCACACCAGGTTATTCCAACAATGCTTTTCTAAAAAAAAAAAATCCCAGCATAATGCATCTGTCATGTTTTAAATATATCAATACATCAGTGAATCCTGATAATCTAAATGGAAATGGCTTCACAAAATGGCTACACCATATGGATGGTATCTGATCAACAGATTTCTTGGCTGGATATGTTGTGTTGGTAAATAAACTGAAGCTAACTAAGCTTTATGTTGTAAAACACCCAAACGTATTCAAGCAAAAGCATTTCTTAAACAAATCAATGATCAACTTATTCAACAAATATTCAAACCTGTATAAGAAATTAACTGAGCTAAAACAGTTTTTCTCATTAGAGCATATCTGAGTGCTCTCTCTGCCTTCTTAAACTTTAACCAACCATTGAAATGACAAATAAGAAGTCCCCGACTAAAGATCAGAAACAGCCACCTACATTTTGATGGCACTTTTCAAACTGGCGATTTCCAATCCCCGACTATACTTTGAAAAAATATAACAAAAAGCTTTCGATTCATTTGAAAAACTGAGCTGAACATTGTGTAATGTCTAATAGATGACAATGGCTAAATGTCAGCACTTCCCATGAGCTATGAAAATTCTCTTTCATTTCAAATGTATATCCCATTTATCACAAGTGAAAGATAGACAATGACTTGAACAGAATCAGTTGTACAACCATAACTGTCTTTTTGAATACCCAGTGTTAACCTTTTTGAGGTTATATTAATAAGAAAAACACATACCAACGGGTCTCCTTCCCAATCTAGTAAACACACCCTGCTTCATTGGAGGCCTAGGGAATGGTGTTATGACATGACACATGATTGGATGTCCCCAGATTTATTTTCAGTGATAATGAGAACTAACATATGTTCTTAACAGAGATTGCAAATATTGTAGTCTAATAAGGTAAAAATCTGCTAACAATACAATCACAGCAAAGATTCCAATGTTGATTCTTTGAACACCAAAACAATCAGATTGTAAATTCTTGACCAGAATTTTTCCGTAATGTCTTGGTCATTGGATATCTCTAAAAGCCAAAAATTCTTGGAAGTCCTTATAACAAACCACTTATGTAATACACCTTCATGAAGAGCTAGGTTTGAATTGAACTCATTAGAAGCAACTAGTGGATCGGATGGTCAGATTCGCTGATGTGGTTGATGAACACCTCAATTCCATAGACCAATGCCCATTCAGTTCATCATGGTGTTGTCTGATACAGACTTGATAATTAACAGACCTCTGTTACATAGCATGAATATTGCTTTGCTGCAGCATTAACATGATTAAAGGTCACATGCAACGTGAAACACAACTTTGCAGATTCTGATACCTTCGGTATGGACATAGCTTAAACAAATCATCAAAATGCAAATTCAACTTATAAAGTTGAAAAATAACGATGAAAAAACGCCAAAATGGAGTTCAAACGTTTCACTCAGGTACTTTCCCCAGACTTTCTGGGGAAAACGGGTTTCAACAGCTGGCTCGCTCATAGCACGCAAGCTGCCAAGTAAATAGGTAGGTTCTCGTGCAGCTTGGAAGCCGGGTTGTCGGGTGAATACCGGTGAAGGCTTTGAGGTGTGAGCTTATTTTTCCTAATGTTTTGTTGATATCTCACAGGCGTGAGCTTTTATATGTTATGACAGTAAATTAACTGTTTATATAATTTCACCACACGCTCTTCTTACCGAAGTCACTTTCTCAGTTTGATACTTAAAAGCAATGTCATTATTTAGCTGCTGACAGAATTTCTAACTGTGATATAGATATGTCGTTGTCACAGACAAAACTCAATGTCTTGTTTTATTGACACCTGTGTGTCTGCCTGCCTGTCTGCTAATGACAATATTCAATACACAGCTGCTGTCACTGACCACATGCAATTTGAACTTAACACCAATCAGGCTATACACCATAAACAAAAGCGCATTGATTTATGGCCCGAAGTTCGTTCTCTGTCACATTATGTAATTACACAGACAGGCAGGTGTGATACTTGAACACATGACATGTTATGATGTCTGTTGATTGCAAAAATGTTATACACAAAAAATGAGCATGTATTTACAAAACCCAACATCTCTATATATACACACACAATGAGGCAGCGGAAGTGGCATCTGCTAATGAACCAGCCGTTACTTGAGTGCACACCCACCCGCTCTAACTGGGTTCGGTATCCCGCTGCTTCGCTTCGAGGGAGGTAAAACCCAAGTACAAAAATATTGCACTTTTGATTTGGCGACATTATGCATATAATTTTGTTTATTTGTTTTTTCATAATCAGCAATGCATATTATATGTCATGAAGAAGTGATAATTGTGTTTTAATTATGTTTGATTCTTTGATCCTTTAAGCAACAAACAAACAAATTCTGTACTGCACAAGACTGCAAAACTCTGCAATGCCATTTTTCAGCAATATATTTGTGACCAGGATATTTCATCCCACTTGAATTAATTATATTTTGGAATATTTGAGATCAAGTCTGATACTATTTTCCGTAATAAGGAGGCACATGGAAATAGATCACACTAGAGGCAAAGTAGCAGTAAATATTTGCCATGTCAGTGAGTTTTGGAAATCAACTGGTGGTTTAAACAAATGTGGCCTAAGTGATTATCTAAGGTTTTCATTCTCCACTCTACTTGACAGCCTTTCCATAGATACCTGGAGTGCTAGTCTTGAACATGTGAATATCAAAATGTGTCAGGTCAACTTCTTTGAGAAACCAGCTTTGATGGATGTCATTCCAAGACTCCCTGTTAATGTTGCAAAACCATCCACCATCTTCTTCCACATTGGGTTGATCAAGTTCTGATCCTCCTCTTGAACTCTACCCTTCTTTGATGCCACATGTTCCACACAAAGTAGAAGATTCCATTCTGTAATTACAGACAGATCAATGGTTATGCAATGCCATTTCACTCCATGTAATTTCGGTATGTTCTGACACCATTATCGAGCATGTCACATCAGTTGCTTGAAAACAGTGTTACAACATCCACCAAAAGATTGCTCATAATTGGAATAAAGAAATGGTGCATGCTTTATATATCTAAAGTCTTGCTTTCTCTCAAAGAATTTGATATTTATTCTCAAGGTGTATCTCTCAAAGAATTCGATATTTATTCTCAAGGTGTAATCATATATTAAGCCATGCAAATGAAAGCCATGTCACGTTTTTCTGCGTGATAATTTGAACATTTTCAACTGATGATTTTCAAACAGTAAACATGGATGTGTGTGGCTTTTTGACAGTGACACAGAGTGTAGATAGGTGCCCAAATTAGTATCATGAAAACCATGAATAAGATTTTAATTACTAAATGGTATTACTTTTTTATTAATTGTTAATTAAAAACATATATCATATCTAAAGTAAAACTTAAAAAGCAATATAAAAGTGAATCAGCTATGAATAAAATCTGGGTTAAGTAAACCCTGTCCACCAAAGAAATTTGGCAGAAATTATTTCCCAATCTTGGCATCAGTTCAGTTAACTTACTGGTTTCAATATTCTTAGGACTTCACTTAAAACAGCCTTGACATCCCTCACAGTGCACAACACCAGAGTACAGACCACAGCATCACAACTGTTGTCTCTCAACCTCGGGCATACTTTCGGCGAATCCCACCACAAACTTCTTGATGCTTTACATTTGGATTCCGAAGGTGCACATTCTCTTCTAAGTAAGTTTTGTTGTAAGGATTTGGATCCAAGCAAATTATTTCTGAGCCTGATGGAAAGTTCTTGAAGTTCATGCCACTTCCTGAGCCGATTTCTAAAGCAGCTGTAAAGGACGGTTTGCTTTTGCTTGCTTGTGAATTCAATTCAGAAAACACAACTGCTTTCTCATTTCGAATCCGCTTATGTGTCTTCTTTAAAACCTATTCCCCATGTATGCTGTGAAACGCAAGCGAAATTGACGCAGTTTCTTTCTCTTGAAAGTGCAACGACAACCACGACAGTGACAACTGGCAGTAGATATTTCAGAAGAATACCTCTAGCAAAATGTCTTCTAGCGCCATTTCAAAGCTTCCAAGGTTTACGTTGTTTTTTCAGTAAAATAGAGACGACGACCGTTTTTCACCTGTCTACCTGCTCAACATCATGTGTGTTTGAGAAGGAGCTAACTCCTCGAAGGCTTGATGTTCCCGAGCACTCGGTTCATTTCTGAAACCGATGCAACTACATTGGTAAATTTCAGGTCGTAAAATCCGTTAAAAAAAAATTTGTTTAGTTCAACATGTGCTTTGAGAATGAGAATTGTTGTTTTTCTTTTTCTTATTTTCTTTTGTTCATGTATTGGTGTAATTCACGAATGTCCCATTGGTGTGGATACGGTTAACAGATGGACAATTACATTTGTAGTGCAGTCATAGGCGCTGAAATAGGTTCACTCTGATTGTATTTCTATCTTTGTCAGCACCATAGTGATAGTGATAGGCCTTGGTATAAACAGGGACCATCGGTATATGGTCTCTGGTATAAACAAATCAAAAATCACTTTGTGAAAAGGCCACAAAGTCTCAACGTGAAATAGGCCACATTAATTTGTAATTTCATACGAAGTCTGTTTCTACAAAACAAGAATATAAACACACAGAAATGATATGTTCTATTAATTAGCAAGCTAATGGCATACCTACTACCTAATTTACGCTCGGGCATAATTTAAGTCACTTCAGTGATTTTGAACAACTAAGTTAATTTAATCTACTTAACTAAAACATAAGTTGAAACCGATATCGTTAAATTCAACAGTGTCGTTAATTGGGCTTTGTCATTCTCCATTCACGCGTGAACGCGCTGATGACTAACATATTGGGACCAGATTATATTACATCTTGCGTAATTGCGACCCAAATACAAAATCCTAAAACGGCGCGTGCATATTTAGATGAAAGCGCCACACGAGTTTAGTCGCACAGAAAATTCTGGAAGAACATGGCGGCTGAGCTGTTTAGGTAGATTGGATACATGTACACACCGGTGTTGTCCAGTTTTGTTGTCACTTATGAATTTGGCAATGCAGCTTTTATGCAGGAGTAATAAATGTTTATGCTCTTTGCAGCAAGGCAAACGAAGAGTTCGTCAGTGAGAATTATCAGCGCGCAATCGAGGTAAACAAACCTTGTGACTCGTGTGGGTATGTACTGGATGTGTTTTTAAGTCATGTGAACTGTTGACAGAATGGTGTGTCTTGTGACATGCACATTTGGTGAAATTTGACCGAGCCCATGGAATTTTATGAATCGATATTTTTCGACACGGTTGTTGGTATCCTTATCGTCTACATGACAGCAGAGACCATATAATTATATGGTCTCTGATGACAGATGATTGTCACTGAATTATATTCAGCATTTAACCCCCTGGCTGCCGAGTTTTTTTTCAGGCGCACATTTTCATACGCTTTGAAAAGTGAACGTTGTGCGAGAATTGCTCTCGCGTGGTCCTGGATCTACGTAAGGCTATAAAATTACACAGAAATGTAGAATATTAAATTTCCTATCCGTTGGTATAAATATAAGTGCAACTACCTTGGCGGTTTGAGAAATAGACCTTGCTAAATTTTGTCCAAATTTTTGTTATGCGATAAAAGCAGTAAATTTCTCCGCTTTTATGGCGCACCGATAAAAGCAATGTGCTACTGAAATTTTTAATGGGGCATCTTTACGGAAAGTGTGAGCGAAGAAAATACAGCCTGATATCTGAATCGACATAACCGTATATGAATTGGGTGTCTGTGCTTGTGCATAACGTTATACCAACATTAAAAATGACTCGCAATAAATGTCAAAATGTATTTTCTTCTATGACGCCAAACCACGACAGAGAGGTCATACACGATAATGATAAGGGGGCATAACTCCGTTATCGCGTAACACTAGGTCAATGTAACTCAGATCACTTGGAGAGAATTTGTTGTGGATACGGACGCTATATTTTCGTTATTTTATATTCATGGTGAACCACACTATTCCAACTCAAAGTTCCCAATGTGAACGGATGCGCTTTGGTAGTTTCACAATTTATAAGAAAAGATGACAACGTATTACATGTGAAAGCACGTAATAGCGCATTTGAATGGCCCTATCCGATATATAAGTTAGTTCTTAGATTCCCATATTCTCCTGTTTGTGTAGATGTAATTTGACTAATTTTGCATCGTTATTACCAGAGTACTAGCCATATCTTCAAATGTAAACTAAATTGCTGAAAATAATACAACATTTTAGTTGACGCCATCCCTTGTTTTATGCATTTTATGACATCAGAAAAAGACAACATTGGTATGCTGATTAGTATATATCTCGCTTTAATTTCGATTAATTGTATAAAAGGTCCAGACTTCTATGTCAGAATTTAACACTCTTTTAGACAAAACATAAAATGACTGATTTTTCCATTTAAATAGTGTCCTGAATATATCAACAATTAGACAGTTTGACAGCATATCTTATTGTGAACAACACGCCGCACCTGTTTGGCATCAATTTAACGTAAAATAAAATAATATTTCCCAACACCAATATTTTGTTGGGGATAAGAATTTTGTTTGTTTATGATTATGAAGCTATTTCTCTTCATATCATTATGCAATGAAAGATGCATAAGGATAGCTTTTATATATGGAACTATATATTAGAATATGGATATAAGATTTGTCCGAATTAACACGAGATGGTATATATATTTTTTCAACAATTTTCCTATAAGTAGTTAGAGTTTGATATCCTGTCATCACAATATTATTTAATCGAATATGAATTGAATATATTATCGAAAACAATGATAGAGAATCATAAAACGCTTCCAACAAACGCAAGACCTTGTCGATCTATATGCATCATTCTTTTGTCTATAAAATCCACACAAAATTATGCAATGAACAAGACAATTCCTTTAAATATGTGTGCATATACATTTCATACCATATATAAATCATTGTCATTAATATTATCAGTTTTGCATATAAGGTTGAATTATATCACCGTTCATTAACCTGTTCATATGAAATTGCAATATTAGTCCAAATAAATTGAATATTGTACATCATAGGAACTAAAGTAGATGCAGTTGTGGCTACGTTTGATCTTCTAACACTTGTGTAAAGGTTTAGAATATGGTGTATTGCAATAAATATGTCAATTTCTTATGTAAATATGATTCAAACAATCAAAAACTTTCAAAGAATAAAACACCGTAAAACCCCATATGCAACGCATGATATGATATTGAACAAGGCTAAATGTAGATACTGAAGTCAGTTTCATGAAAAAGCATCCGAACTATCCGCCAAAATATACATCATAATACTGACAGTGTAATCGGAAGGATATGGCGATTGTGTTTACTCTTGTTCTAACCGACCTTCACCTCAAAGAAATTGCCTAATATGTAGAACAATGTTGACGTTATGACATCACTACCGCTGACCCGATTTCTTACAAAATGGCGGCTTTGCTGACAAGGGTACACAGGATTTTTGCGAGGACCCTTCCACTGATTCAGGGATCGTTTGTACATAAATATGAGATGTAAGTAATCAGAATGATTCTGACTATCTGTGTATTGTTATATGTTTTATCGCTTTCACTATCGTGAAGAGAAAAGGACAGAAATGCAGATAATTACGCTTGTCGAGTTCTGCGTGATTTGAAAACGCCAGTCATGGCGCGCACGCTGCACGGAAACTTTGACAATTTCTTATGAATTATCAAATCATTGCATTGTATCTATTTATAATTTCCTATTTCTTGCTACGATACTCTTTCCATGTATATTCTAAAAGGTATCGAGTCATTGCAAGCAATGAATAGGACGGATGAATGTTGAAAAAATTCAGAAAATGCTACGCAGTGTAAAATCGAATTTGTCTTTGTTTACATTTCACACAAACGCCAGTCTTTCAAGCACAGCGTTCGTTTTCATTAATCCAATATGTTTCGATCTCATTTTATCTAGACAATTATTATTGGTGACACAGACCAGTTTCAAATTGATTCTAAAATGTATGGGGAATTCAGTGATGCATTTTTGAAGCTGAATATATGAAATATCATTGATGTAATAGGCGATCTCAATACCGGCCTTCGCCTCGAAGCGTGATTTTGTAAACACTATCCAATATGGCCGGAAAGCTCTCACGGTGTTCGTGGTAAGTGCATTTTCGAAAACATCCCAACCGATTCTAGATTCATCGGCAACGTTTCAGAATTATAATTAGCGATTTCATGTAAAAGTGATATCAGTGATCATGAATAGGTTATTTTTTAAATTCAATACTCCCAGGAATTATCCGATTTTCACATTTCAAAACATACAGCAAATAACGCTGTGAATCAGCGATTTCATACTGTGTCAAAATGTACGCCATTTTCGATGAAGCCTATTTTAAAAGGTCATTTTCAGCACTTGAGCTTTGTCTAAAATAATACTGGATGGTATCAAGAAACAGGAAATTTCCTTGAGAATCGAAACTGTGAAGTGTATTTGTGTCGCGGGATATTTTGATTTTATTCGACTTCAAATTGAGGGTTGAAGGGGAAGGACATATATGTCCCTGTGGCATCCAGGGGTTAAAACTGAAAATGAAACAATCTCCTTCCACATACTGAAAGTAGTCCATTGCCTCATCGCTTCCCTAAAAGAATAGACTCTACTGTCAGCTTTAAACACAAAATACCTTGGTTTCTCCATTATTTGATGACCTAACAAGGTATATTGTCAGCTGTCATGAGTGAAAAGAATATCATCGTGACTTTCATAAATTAACTGAACAAGTGCACTAAAGTGCATACTTTGTCAGGTTGTAACATTATTTAAAACGGACGCTACTGGCTAGCTATCGCCAGCGTGCGGTTATTATCAACACATGGCTGTAGCGCTTGCACAGACAGCTTGACTTGTACTTCCGTAGTACTTCTCACATTGACACATCACACAAGCAATAGGCTACGAGAGTTAAAATCAAGGTGTCTGTGCAAGCGCTACAGCCAGGTGTTTGCGATAACTGGTATGCAGCGATAACTGGTCGCTAGCCAGTAGTGAAATCAGTCAAGATTTTTGCAAATACATACAACGCCACCAATATTTGACAACCACGTAATTCACATACAAACAGTCAAGTAATGTGTATTGTATTCAACGAGATGTTTTTAGTCGATAGACGAAAGTTCAATCTCCCCACAACATGAAAGGACTACAACCAATCCGATACAGTAAATAGTAGCTGCAACATTTGTACAAAGGTTGTACCTGTTTTTATCCTCTCTCAGAGTAGCAGTTTCATGGTAGTGGGTGAATAGAAATTCACATGACACCAAATGATTATTACTGGAGTGTAGAATTTCAGGTGGACCCATTGCCCACACACTGGTTTTGTGCACTTGGCCCATTGAACAAAAGTAACACTTGTGCAATTTCCTAACTTTTGAGGTGTCAACTTGCCACAAACACCAATGTCATTGTGAGAGAACAATGCATCAAGAGAATGCTCTAATATGGCCCATTCTTGCCCCCAGCGGCTGTTCCGTCTTCGCTCCTCCATGCAGCCCGGTGGAAGTGCCTGGTGCACTGTCATCACCTGTTTTACTTGGTTGCCTTTTTCTTCTGTTCTTTATTATGTCAGATGAGTTTTTTTCGATGCCATTTTCAGTAATGGCCTTTCCTCTGACAGTTTGCTGACCTTTTCAAACTTTGACTGAACATTTTCTTATACTACACCCCTTCTCTTACAAAGAATCTCACAGGTTTTCCAGTCACATCAGCATTACCTCAATTACACTCTAGCATATTCTAATTTTCTACTGGGCTTCTGAACTCGAATCTCAAGGGGAACATGCGAGGCCATAGCAAACTGAGGGCATGGTCATATCTTTGTGACCTAAATGAAATGATGAACACAGTATGAAGTGAGCCTTTCAAGCATCCATATTTTTCTTTCAGCGACATTGATGGAGAATGTTGAGAAATTCCAACATGTGGATATGTCTAAAACTATGTAGGAAACGTAAAAACAGTGTTAACTTGTTGTTGGTGAGCCCCATGTGTACACTGTACAAGACCCCTTACACAAGACACAGAGAAGATGTGTACAGAGTGTTGAAATCTTTACTGTTAAGTCTTCACTAGGCTCATCAACCCAATCTACACAAAACCCGTATAACAATGAAATCTGAGTAAATTTACAGATGTTTACTAGTTCCACTTGCATATTTGGTGAAATGATGACTTGTATCACTTCATTAATTCAGTTTGTTATTTGTGGTCACTAGAATTGATAACATCTATTTACGAATATTTTTTATAAGTGACATTTAAATGAAACGGGTGTTATTCATCAAAGCGAGATATGCAAAACTGAATATATACAGGCCATGCATATATCTTGTGTCTGTTTGCCAAGGACCCTTACAGTCCCGTTATAAGGCTATATAAACTGGGTCTGGAACAGGTTACCTGAGTACCCAGGTTGGATGAATACTTTTTACCACCGAGGTCCTGAAAAATCAAAGCTTATTTTCATTTTGTTATTGTATTTGGTCTGAAAGAAAAAGTAAGCTTTTTGTCACTTTTTACTCGAAATGAATCAGCTTGCATTAAAAAAGTCTGGAAATTCATTCCAAAGTGTGAACTATGTAGAATATGCCATCTGTTTTTATATGATTTTTATACACATCGCAATTTCAAAAACATTCATTTTCTAGAACATATATTGATTGTCATCCAAACAGTCTAAATATGTCTTTCAAATTTGTTCATGAAATAGAAGAGTACCCTGCCAAAAATCTGGTCATGTTGGTATAGCTGTCTCTGTATCTCTTCAGCTCTATTCTGAAGCCATCCAGGCAGAAGGTGAGAGAGATGAGTTCTCACGCGGAACAGAGCCCAGGCCTATCTCAAGCTTGAGAAGTACACAGGTGAGATGGGTTGACCATGGTCCTGATTTGTTGAACTCATGTCCATGGTGTAATATTGTCAAAATTCTACTGTATATCTTATCCCTGTGACTTTTATGGCTCCTTGTAAACAATTCACTTTCGATATTCTGTGAATTGACTCAGATCCCTTCATGAATTCGCTCATCATTCTAGAATCAAATATTCATGCATGTTTTTAAAAGAATGTTTTACTTGAATTTGGTATTATTTATCAAAGTGAAATATGTAAAATGGAATATATCCCAAACCAAGCAGGATGGTAGTCAATGTAATTTGACATTAATGTGGTCACTGGTGATTGTCGTGATAAATTTACACTGTCTAAATGGTCAAAACCATCCGTGAATGTATTTTGTTGTTGTTTCACTGAATATATTGAATATCCATCAACTGCTCATTTGTTATTGTATTCTTAACTCAATATTTGTATTTGATGCCCAATATTTCTGATATGTGTCATGTTGATTCATTGCAGCTCTAGCTTTAATTTGAGCCATCAGTTTCATATGTAAACAATCTCATTAAAACAGATGTTGTACTGTCATCATATTGATCTCATTAAAACAGATGTTGTATTGTCATCACGATCCCAATCTCATTAAAATCAGATCTATTGCTCTAATTAAACGCCAAACTCAGAAAGAAAACCATGGGAACAACAGCTCAAAAGACAATGCACATAATATGTCTACAAAATATACTCCTCACAACAAATTAAGCGACAAGTATTTTTCAGTGTAATGTATTTATCAATCTGCATAGCGATTTTGCCGACGATTACTGAAAGGTAAATATTCAAAGAATACATAACCCTTTAGTGACTGTCAATTTGATTTATCTGATAACATTGACAACATCACCCGAACACAACCACCCTCAGAATCAACATGCAAAATGTGTGGCATGGATGTGCTCCACTTTTACACACTCTGATCGGGCGAACCCACCTGTGATCATTCCCCTGGCACAACAAGCTGGTCCTGACTTCATGTTTATGGATGATAATGCCTGGCCATGGATGATAATGCCCGAGAAGAGTTTTTAATGATGTTGTTTAGATCAACAACATCACACATATGGATTGGGCTGCAAGGTCACTTGATCTTAATCCCATTGAACATGCTTAGGGCATTATTGGAAGTTGTGTTTACGGTCTCCATGTTCACCCCCAGACTCAGCAGATGCTACAGAGAGAATGGCAAATCATTCCACAACAGCAACTTTAAAGGCTCATTTGGTCAATGCAAAGCGTGTAGAAGCTTGCATTTGTGCTCATGGTGGTCATCGCGCTTGCTGAACACTGCTTCACTGTCCAAAACTGACTTGAAACCTTAATGTTAACATTTTGCTCCATCAATGCAGCACATTTTGCACGACTGTTTCAATGGTACATGCTTTAGATGATTTCTAAGTCTATTATTGCTCAATACCATTTCATATCATTTTGTTAATCATGTGTCTATATGTTTCACCTTGCTATTGCATCATTCCATGATTTGCAATTTCAATAAATGAAAATGTAATGAGACTAAAAATTTGTGTTGCTTTAACTTTTTGTGAGGAGTATATATGCTGCCTGTTATTTCCATTTGGACGCTTGTTGTGTCAAAGTTGAAGGAACCTTTTTAGATATTTAAAGTTATCTGAAGTTCACCACAACTGCAAAATGATGACTAAATAAGGGTTATGCTTTTACCAAGATTTTACTTCTTGACTATAGTAGGTTGGGCACTTCAAGGCACACAAAGTTTCACACAAAGGGTGTTCGACCATACTGTGTTTCAAGACACCAAAATCTTAGATCTATCTAATCTATGCACTGAGGGTTTAAGCCTGCTGATTGGTTGATTTGATCATGTCACATGATTGAGGGAGGATTTGTCAGATGTACACTTATATCGTGATCAGAACAGGATAACTGGTTTTGATGATGAAGCTGAAGTCTGACGTTTGTCTTGAACAGGAACACTTATTAAGAAGTTGTCTATCCATACAAAGAAGTGTTCCTCCTCATCATACCAGCTTCTAAATGCCACTTAAAGTAGTCAAACATTTCTCTTGTATTGTTTGTTAGACAGATGCATTTGGAGCCAGGTTTCCTGGCAGGTGTAGGAAATTAGGTTTAATGATCATCTACAACTTTGATTTTCAGAGGCATATAATGACTGCAGCAAGGCATGTACCGATTAGGGCACCCTTTCAGCAGAATGTAAAAGCACATTTCGGAAAGGGTATGTACTTTTATTTATCAGAAGCAATAATAAAAAAATCTTTCAGACACATCAATAGAACAGTGTCGCCAGTTAGCCCTGTGCGAGGATTCTTAATTTAGGTCACTGACACACCGTATTTGTTTTTTCTGCCTTAAATTAATCGTGAATTATCCTTAGAAAGTATTAAATTTGGCATCTTAAATAGAAGCCAGTTAGCCCTCCTGCTTCTACCACCACCATATAGTTTAATAAAGCACACTTTTAAAGCCTGAACTATTATAACGTTAAGGCACTTGGACGCAAGCGTCCTCATACTTTAACTATAATAGTTCAGGGCGAAAGTGTGCTTTATTACACTATACATGGTGGTAGAGCGAACTGTATTTCTTAAATATTTAATGAAACCAACTGATTTATTTGCACCTTGTATTCATTATGACATCTGTGACTGGGAATGGATGGCTGATGAGTGTCATTGTGTCGATACAGTGTGGATCAGTGCCTTTCATCAGTGTTAAGTATGTCTAGTCTTGGGCCTAGATTTTCGAAGGTCTCTTAGAGCTAAGATGGTCGTAAGTACCATACATTAACATTAAATTACAACTATCTTAGCTCTCAGAGATCTTGAAAATCTAGGCCCAGACTTATATCTACAGGTTGCTGATAGGATTGGGATGTGTGTGCAGCATATCATAACATTCACCCCATCTCTATGTAGATAGAACCTGTGAAGATCCGGCTTAGAATTGATCTTCAGTAACCCATGCTTCTTGCAAGAGGCAACAAACAGGATCGGGTGGTCAGATTCGCTGACTTAGTAGACACATGTCATGGTGTCTCAATTGAGTAGATCAATTCTCATGCTGATGATCGCTGGATTGTCTGGTCCAGACTAGAATATTTACAGACGACCACCATACAGCTAGAATATTGCTCAGTGCAGCGTAAAACTAAACTCATTCACTATGTAGATAGGCATAACATCTGCATGGGTGGCTAAGATGTCTAATGCACCAAATCCTCCCTCTGTTTGTGAGTCATGTACTTAAACCATGTCAGGAGGTCAGCTGCCCTCTTATTCACTTGATTGAGCACATGATTCTGGGTGTTAATCAGCATCATATCAGTGCTCAACCCCAAGCTACATTCCTTTGGTTCCTTACACATGAAGCTGAATTTTTGTGTGCTTTCTTTCAGAATTGCACTCTTCCATCTTAAAGATTACAAAAATGCTATTGATGCTTCCCCGAGAAGGACAGTCCCTAGATCGTAAGTACTTCTGCATGATGAAAGGTTGTAGAATTAGCCTGAAAGTCATAGTGCCCATAAGTCCTTGTCATAAATCCTCATGATACAGGATGAAAGTTTAGGAGACCTCTGTATTCAGTGAAGTACACTGTAACAGCACTTACGATGTGAGAGAGACACCCAGTCATCCCTAATTTTGAAGCCTGCAGAACAGATGTCATCAATTCTTTAAAATTTGATTTTCATAAAACCAAAGGGGCTGCTTAAATGAAGTAATTGTGTCATCTTTGTTAACAGCATTTTGTCTGTGGCTGCTATAACAGGGAAATTACCATATGTTATTTCGAGACAGCACTCTAATCGGGTTAGTCATGGATTAATATTTCTTTGTCCCTGGTGTGAAACTTTAGTCATGGATGTTAGTGCGTGTGATAGCAAAGATGTGAGAGGGGTCAGCTTTGTGCTAATGTGCTGTTAGATATTCCATAGGGTGGTGTGGTAATCTAGCTTTGATTTTAAAGTTTGATTTGAAATTATTTTACTGTGCTTCATGGCATTTCAACAAAAGTTATTACAGTGTTTGTTTACTGCCTGTCCAGACAAAATGAAATGGTTAAATGAAAGATTTTGTGCTATTGCACATGAAGTGATGTTTTTCTGCATTTTCCTGACACTTTTTCTGAATTGTTCTGAAAAATTTCTGGTAATTTCTATCCATGTGGGTAATAAAGTATGATATTGGTGGTTTTCGCAGCAGCAGATTCTAACTATGCAATGTGGCTTGAGAAGTGTGAAGCAGAGTTGCCTCCCCTTGACTTCGCCGGCCCTCGACAGAAGAGGCATCCTTAGCTCCAAACAAACCTACGACGGAGCCTTCAACGCTGCTCCACAGCGAGCCTCCAACAAAGTCAACAGCAGAGCCAGTCCAGATGCCATCAAAACCAAAAAGCAAAGTTTGTCAGCATTTATAGCCTCAACATTCAGTCCTTCACTGTTAATATGTCACAGGTTTTGTACACACTACATTCCATTAACGCCTGTGTGTGTAGCTCATGGAAATCAGATCAGCCCTTGTCATTACTCAAACATCATGCAAACTTTACCATAACCTGACCCTACAGCAGTGACTAGATTCCTCCCAGGGCTATGGCTCATGCTGTGCATACGAGTCCAGAAACACTGGTGTGGATATGTTCTAAGTCATCATCCATGTGTGTTGTCACCGTAACTGTCTCACTGGAACGAGGCCATGGTTTCATTCACTGGTTCAAAATAATGACTTTTGTGCCAAATATTTTGTGTGTTTGCAGGTGATGAAGGAATTATGTTTCCAACTCTGTGAAGTATTGATAATGTCGTTCTTTTGTCAGAGGCAAATCTGTATCAACATATATTTTTCTGATGCTTGACATCAGTGTTATTGTCAATATTGACAAACCATTAAATTGTGTAATTGAAATGTATCAAAGTT